TTACCTCAGACAAACTATAAGTGGGAAGCATGTTGATTGCATTTTATTATTTCTAACAAACATTGCACTCCTTGTAAATAAAATAGGTTTGTCATGTTTTATGAGATTCCCCTCTCAGGACAGTTATTTTTCCCTCTCCGTTTCCATGATTTTGTTAAATCTAATTTTTTTTTTGCCCTACGCTATTTCATTCTATTTATCTAAGGAAATGTACTGTCTTGGAAATAAAGCAAGACTTTGATAAACCATAGCACAGAAGAGGGGATAAGTATGGAATTATGGAGAGTAAGAAAATTGCATAGACATTTTTTCTATTAAGAAAGAGTATATAGGTTTTTATAGATCTCGTAGGCTTTTATTAATATTATCCCTTCCAGCTTTTAAGTGCATTTTGTCCCAGAAAAGAGAATATTTACAGTTAATGTCTGATGCGATGGCTATCAGTAGTCTAATCAGAATTTAGGATTTAAAAATATCAGAAATTTATGTACCGGCAGTCATCATCTTCACGAATATCGTTCCCTGTTAATCCCAAAGTACAGCCAACGAACAAATCATTTGTCGTTTGAAGAAAAATGGTGTAGTTTTCAAAATCCATGGAATACAGCTCTTCATAAATTGACCTTGTGGGAAGCTTAAAAAAAGAAAGAAAAGTAGGAATTAGGACAAGAGAAAATTAAAAATGCTTTAGATAAATACCTTTAATAGTTTGTCGGTCTGTTTTTTAAAAAAAAATGCATTTGTAACACTCATTTGAAATATCAAATGAAAAAATTTCCTTAAATTAGGAAATTTTTTTTTGTAAAGTGAACAATACTTAAATAACAGAAACGTCAAAGCTGATGTCACTACTCTTATTAGTCCACTGAATTTATTTATTTTTATATTTTTTCTGGTGGTGCTGCACACGAATCCACTTCTTGAGATTGAAATATTTTTTTTGTGAAACACATTTTCCTCTAAGGAAAACCTGGAAAAATCTAGTTTTTTCGTTATACAGTTTTTTTGGTCTTTAATATATAAGCTTCTGCTAACAGTTTTGAAAGTTAGAGGAAATTTCCTGCCACTACTATACCTACAATGCATCCGTAGGGCCAATCAACGTAGAAAGAATAGAATATTGTTGCAATCACTGGTTACCCATTGGTCATAATGTTTTGCCAAAGATTGGTTTTCAATTCCTGTCTGATATATGTTTCTCAAGACGTCATAAAATTCTTTTCCTTCTTCAGTATTCATATTCATATTAAAGTCGCCACCAAAACAGTAATTATGAATAAGTTAATCGACAAAAAGACAAAAGATTCTTAAAAATATTATATAAAAACATTAAAAATGCTCGCTGGTAAAAAAAAAGAAGTTCCAAAATGCTCGTCTGTTTTTTTTATTAATGATTATGTTATTGCCTTTTAAATTGCCACGAGCTCTGCATCATAAATGCTAGAGTTATTGGTGAGTCTGATGGAGGCCACCTCAATAGTCTCACCATCCAGTTTCACAATCATGCCAGAGCTGGTAGTTGCATAAGCTTTAGTTATGAGTATTAGCGAAGACCTTAGGATGGAATTTAATTTATCATTGATCCTATTAGTATTACGATACCAGACATTGGCGGCATATAAAATAATGCGTTCTGTGGACCGCAGGTAGATGGTTTTTAAGTATTTTTGGCTGAAGTCCCCAGGTCGCCCTGGCCACCCTTTTAATAAGATTATTAAAGTTTCCTACTCTCTCCTTGACCTGGTTAAGATGAGGTTTCCAGGTCAAGCCTTGGTCAAGTAAAATACCCAGGTATTTAAGAGTTTGGACCTGTTTAATTGAATATGTATGATTATTGCTCATTTTAATATTCGGTGGTCTTCCGATTTTCTTTCTACTCTTGGGAAATGTGATGCAATACGTCTTATTGTCACCAAATTTGAGTTTATAAGCATTAGCCCATTCCGAGAGTTCGGTAAGACAGCGGGTGGCTAGTTGGTCAAATCGATATAAAATTGGGTGTCTCAACAACATAACAAGATCATCCGCGAAAGCTATTAAGCGGCAATCATTAAAATCAACATCGATGAAATCATTAAAATTAATATGGTTAAAATGATGGAAAACAGTGTTGATATAAATAAGCCACAACACCGGCAGAGATTATTTATGTATGTAGTCTAAAATCATCGCATTGCTTTAAGTGTAAGGCACTTAAACTGTGGCTTTTTTATTTTCCTTGGTGACAAAGCTTCGAAAAACAGTGTCGCTAAATCACGGGCGGAAGAAAGTTTTCAAGTCAAATCCTGACCTCGATTTCTATTTTAAAATTTAAAGAAAGATGAGTTTTGAAAAACCTAGAGCAAACCATTTGTTTTTTAAGTGCCGAATAAAAAGTTTTCAAAATAAATATAATCACTTAACAAATTATTGCAGGATTAATTTTCCACTGCCTAGCTGCAATAACATATTTGCATTTAGATATTTTGAAAACTATTTTCCTCATCATTTAAAACGAAAAGGTTTAAATTACTTTACGCGAACTCGTTTTTTACAATGCTTTAAATACTATTTAACTTCCGTAGGTTTAAGACAATTTACTTCTAAGGTTTTTATTTTTTTCCCTTTTTCCGTCTAGGCAGACATGTTTATATAACTGCTTAAATATTTATTTGAATGTTATAGTAGTCACTCAGTCCTAAAAATAAAATTAGATAAAGAAATAAACTCATTTTTGCAAACTAATGATTTTTTGTAGCGTACTTGCATCCAGTTTCATCAAACCTTGCATCTATCCTATATATAAATATTTCAGATTACGTGATGCTCAAACCAAACTGTTCACTAAATCTGTGTTGTTCTCAGATAATATAATGGTAGACAAGCAGCACGTGAGAGAGATTAAATGAAAAGGAAAACGCCTGTGATATTCCTTTATAATTTCCAGACATAATTTATTTAAATTATAAACTTAATAAAGGGAAACTTATTTCGGTTCTCTTATACTTTGAATTTAAAAACAGTATATCTGCGACAAACATAGTATATACATGTTATATTTTTACTTTAATAAAAACCATTTAAATTTTAATATAAAGTGTTCCAGAAGTCTCTTAAAATTTTAAAGGAAGTATATTCTTAGTATCTTTTAATATTTCAAGTGTCCCAGTTTTTTTTTAGAAAACTTTTTTATTTCCAAATAAAATAAAACAAAAGTTATGTATATCAATTTTTAGATAAAATCATCTTTAACAAAAAGTTTTACGGAAAGTGGATTTCAAGTTTTTATTGAAATAAAGCCAAATTGGAATAAAATTAAAAGAAATGTCATTTATGCTTGCTAAATATACCGTGTATGCCAGCACAATTAATTAATTTTTTGATATGGAATTTTTTGGAACTTACTTCCTGAGAATTAGGGTCATATATTTCACCCCTGGAACAATATCTTTTATGAAAGCATTCACATAAATTCCGGTATTCCTTAAATTGAGATGGGCGTAGACATCTTTCATGAAATCTCGGATCTGAACAAATGGCGCGTGATTTAAATCTGAAAACCAAACAGTTATAATTTATTAGTCTCATTAAAAATGTATTTATTTATTGAATTCATGAAAGTGTGAAATTATGGAAATAACACCTGTTCCTCTAAGCAATCATCGTGACTGTAAGAAAATAATCAAATATTATCTCCGAAAAATGGATTTTTTTTAATCCATTAAAGCAAAGGCTCTCAAATTGTGGATCTATTTAATTAAGTTAACCAGCAAAATGTAAAAAATATTTATTATCAACTAACAACAGATCGAGTTCTTACTATACTGTGTTTCGCAGAGGAAAATTTATGGTGAACAATAAACACAGGAAGGCGGGTCAGCATAAAGTATCAAATAATGACTTTAAATAGCATGAAAATTAATAAAGCATTGCTAATCTTATCCCGTAATAAGACTTAACATATTTTTCAATTTTTACTTTAATTGTTTCCTATTAATTTATGTCAAAGAAAGAGTAATACAGTATATTTAGCATTTTAATAATTTATGGTTACTAAATACCAGCGTGAAACAGCGGTGTGTTTTTCAGCATCCTCAAAACACGCCTCACTTCTAAACAATAATTCGTGAAATTCACACTTATTTGCAATTACTTAGATCTATTAGGGAAACAGGTATTTATCAATAGTAGTATATATATGCGGGTCCTGGGCCACTTTCTCACACTTTCTCGCGCACGTTTAATAAAATCGTATAATTCAAAGAAAATTGATTAAAAAGGATTGAAAAACTTAATTTTTTATTAAATATATATAAAATTATNTCCAAGTTTCAATTTTTTCTAAATTACTTTAACCGTCTTAATAGCAAGCAGAGCCTTCGGGCATGGAAATGTTATCGGCCCTAACCTGTCATTCTCTTTTAAAATAAAACTAAAAAACTTCACATACATGAAATAAAGCATTTTTTAAGACATACAACAACTTGAATAAATTTTAAAAATAATTGTATCACTCCAAAAACTCCTACATCAAAAAAAAGCATTTTTAAACTACGCATATTTTTAAAAAAATTGAGATGTTTGCCAATTGCAATTCTCAAAAAATATTTAAATAAATAAATTTAAATAATGTATGTAATCTTTTCTTTTGCTTATTTGTAGTTGTTCTGATTTTGTTTTGAATAATTTAACTATTTACAGCTTTAGTAGTACACAAAAATTCACACAAATCATGTTTATTTCGAGAATACGAAAATCACACTTTGAATAACTTTTGATTCAATGATCGGAGTTTTAAATACTGGAGCATAATCAAGCATAAATTCAAGGATGCAAACCAAGCAAGTTAATTTGCGCTATTCGTATTTTTTGTTGCGAAATCAAAAAGCCTGCATAATCAAAATTTAGACACAAATTGCCAAGTTTGAACGAAATCAATCGAATTGTTCTTAGATAAAAAATATTAAAAAAAACTTCATTCATAATTTTTATTTCGAAATCTATGCAATTCATTATGCTCAAATTTGGAACTTCGTCATTTTTACTGACATAGTTTAAAAAGGTATAAATTTTAATGTGATTTACAGTTCAAGATTTTTTTACCATAACTGAATAAAATTACTGAATCAATTGTTCAAAAAATGTTTAGAACAAAGAATTTTTTCCGGATAAATAATCTTGTAAGTGAAAAAGTGAACTCAGCATTATGAAACTCACACTTCCTGCCTAAGTTTCCAGATTGTGTCCAACTCTTTTCCCCGATTATTGAATTATAGAAGAATATTAAAGTTCAAAAGTCTGAATACGTAAATAAAAAGTACGTTTATTGAAAGAAAATATTGCTTTCGTAATGTAAAATATAATATTCCTGAATTAAGTGGCATTTTTAAGACTCTCAAATCACTAAGATTGAGTCCCAGTAAAGTAATAAACCGAATAGTCTAATAGTTACTAAAAAAGCATGTTAGATTATCAGAATTATATTTGAATAAAAGTATAATATCCAAAAAAAAAGTAGTTTTGTTTCATTCATATTCAAAAAATTTAATCAATAACTGATTTTGTAAATTAAAGAAATTTCAATTATGAATAATTGTTTCTCATAGATCTAAATAACTGCTAAATTATTGTTTGGATAATTTGAAAAGTTATAGTTGGGAAGTGAGCAGTGTTTGAAAGATTTTACCTTCACAGAAATGGACACCGGTGTTTGACGCTAAATATATTTTTCTCTTACTTTGACCAAAATTAACACAAAATTATAAAAAGTATGAAAAATATGTTTCATAAATATTCTGAGTTAAAGATATTACGTCTGACTAACATTTTGCTACTCCACTGCATTTGGGCGAAGTGATCCTTAGGCCAGTAGTACCTAAAAGATGTTCTGTAAGGGTCCGAGAAATAATGTTAATTATTTAGTTATATCCAGTCCATAATCCATAATTTATTTAATATTTTGATTGTTTACACGAAATTATTTATATAAAAGTAGGAAAATTTCAAAAAATTTCAATTTAAATATATTGATTAAATTAAGAATTAGATATGCATTAATGTTTCATAAGTATTTCTCATCAAGAATTTCAGTTCAAAATAAAATACCAAAATGAAAGGATATAAATTATGTTTCTCTCATATATAATCTCAACTTTTATTACATTTTCCCACTGAAACTACAATTTTATTCTAATTCAATATATACATACACCATGAAAGATTTCATGGCTTAAAATATTTCAATTTTTAAATTATATATTTTCCGAATTACAAATAGAATTTTTCCTAATTATTGTATATTTGTTTTCTTATATATATATATATATATATGTCTATTCGTATGAGAATATTGTGGGTTTGTTTTCTTTAAAAAAAAATGCAAATTTCTAAAAATAATCAGTCGAAAATTTTAACTAAATCAAAGGAGCTCTGTGCAATTAAATGTAAGGTATACTTTCTGAAAAGAATACAATTTTAAACAAACAATCTAATTTTGAAACCGATAGCAGATATATGTTTAATCGTGAATTGTGAGTAATGCCGATTTGAAAAATCTGACTTTGAGAACTAAGCACAATGAATATTATGGAATATCAAAATAATGTAAGTCAGTTAAATTAGAAAAATAACGTGATATATTGTTAAAACATAATATTTTTCTGAATATATGTCACGATTTGTAAATTCCGGTATAAACCTGCATCTGCAGGTAAACAACACTTTAAATCAAAGTGTAAATTTAGTACAGGGATATTTTAAATACACTTTCCTCTAATCATTATATACAAAATGATAATTTTTAATTGACTTTCATTTTTAACTAAAGTATTGAAATAACTAAATAGTATATAGAATAAAATATTAAATAGAATGAATTGGATTATTAAGAACACTTACTTTATAGCTTTCAAAATTGAAATAGTTTGTTTTGAGCGGGATTCGACGTCATTTTAAAGGGTTACCAAACACTAAAGGAATTAAGCCAATTCGAGACTCCTTTTAATCACATTTTAATATTAATCGCCCCATTTAAATATTTCTTCTTTGTCGCCAAATCATCTTTTTAAAAATAATTAATTTTCTCAGCTTCTACTAAATAAAAATAGTTGAAACTTTAGATGTTTAAAGTGAAAAATTTGTAGATTAACATAGTATAAAAAGTTTCATACCTTATTATAATTCAATATTTTTTCATCCTCATTTTAATTAAATAATTAAAAATAATACGTGATTGTTAAAAAAATAATAAATGATGATTAAATATTATTTTTTTCATAAAATTATCTTTGGGTAAATGAGTTTTATGAGTGGGTGCAAATTTTTTTGAATTGAATAATTAGTTTTAAAAATATGACTAAAAACGCAAAAGTGAAATTAACATTAAGGGGTCCAAACTTATAATGACTCTCCTGAACAAACTATGGGGGGAAAAAATGTGTTTATTCAGAGAAAGTACGTTTTTGTGTCTGATTTCGTAACTTAATTAATAGTTAGCACTAATTAATTAGCATTTTGGATTGTATGGTACTGTACAATTAAAAACTGGAAAAAAAAAGATTTATTGATATAATTATGGTAACAAAGGAAATCATAATTAAAAATTTTAAATCAAAACAATCAAGAAAGAAGGTGAAATTACTAATGACGATGGTTTCTATAAAAATTATTTTATTTAAATTTAAAATTATATTATGAAAATTTTTTTATTTGTAAATTGAAAACTTTAAACTACGGGTTAAAAAATGAAGGTTTTTTGGTTAACACTGTTTCTTTATTTATTTAAAACTAAAAAAAAAAAAGAAAAAAAGAAAAGAAATTGTCACGAATTTGAAATAATTATACCATTAAAGTTATTTCACATAAATATATTTTAATTATTAATTAATATTTTCACTAAAGAGTACAAAGTATTCACTTTCCTTGAATAAAATTGTTATCAAAATACTAAAAAAGAAGAATTGAATTATGAGTATTTACAGTTTATTATTCTCTTTTATTTCTACCTTGAGTATCAATGATTGTATGGGGCCGTTCAAAAAGTACATACATCCCGAAGGTGTGGGGGGAGTGGATTTACTATTTTGTACGATGGGGGGGGGGAAGGAGGTATTATACAAAGTACTTTTAATAAAAAGTAAGCATTATAAGCATACACCAAATTTAAATTTGACTTTTTCCTACACATGTATTATGTATATGTGGAATACAAATCCACGAAGCAAGTAAGCAACCATCTCTATCACGTGATAGCAAGGACACTACATTTACATTATTCTTACTTGTACACCATGTAGATGAAATCAGTTGGAATGTCTGGCTCAAGTCAGCAGAAATTGTAGCTTATTTTTGTTAATATATTTTATTAAGTTTAGCGTATCTCCTTTTATTTAAAACCCTCTCTTCACCCCTTTTATTCCACATATATATGTTTGTTCTTGTATTTTTTTTTTCACACGGCAACCACGTTTTAGAATGAGTAAATCAGTTCTCAAAAAAAGTTGTCTCGCAAAATAAAATATTGGAAACTAACTTTCCCCGAAACTTTTTCTGATACCGGGTGAAAACATACTCCTCCAATCACAGCACTGTTATTGTT